ATCTATCTATCTATCTATCTATCTATCTATCTATCTATCTATCTATCTATCTATCTATCTATCTATCTATCTATCTATCTATCTATCTATCTATCTATCTATCTATCTATCTATCTATATATATATATATATATATATATAGATAGATATATATATATATATCTATATATATATATTTATATATATATATATATAACTTTCAATATAGGATAGAAGATTGAACGGAAGAAACTACTTAACGATTGTGATTGACAAAACACTTTAACTATACCGGGAAATTAATTTTAAAATAATATTGCAAAGACTAGATATACAGAGGGAAATATTAAATATTAGAATATAGCTGTTTGTATATGCCTGCTTGTAACGGACAGAAATCAAAGGGAAGTGCAATTTGTGATAAAACAAACTTTCCAAAAATTCCACAAAACTGAAGCTAATTTTTAAAGGTTTTCAAAATTATTTCTGCAGGAAAATGATACATAAGATTTTTTTTTACAACTCCATTCAATATGAATATCATCTGCCTTGAAATAAGACTGACTTAGGATGTATATGTAACGGCAGAGCCGTTGTTTGAATTTAGAGGCAATCTGCAATGTTTCTCTTTTCGTTATTCCGCTATTTAAATAAATAATTAATTATCAACTATTTTTTTTGCCACATGATAACATAGGACCTCTTAAATAGATTAAGCCTCCTGTATTAGCAAGGTTTGCAGGGCCAAGATTAACGCTCTGGTTATGGGGAAATCGTTTACTTGTATATATTATTTGTTGTGGATTTGATGCGTGAACCGTATTCAATCAAATTCTTCCTAAGTTGTTAGAATAACGCAGGTCTTTTTTATACATATTAGTGGTCTTATAATTATATAGCGATACTAAATATTCATTAATTAATTTGTTTACCATATTTCCATAAGAGGTCAATATGCATGGCTTCTTTCTTTTATCGAAAAAAAGACATCAGAATAAAGGAAACTTTATTTACTCATGGAAACTACATGCTACTTCTAAAAGCGCGTCCGTTATGTATTACGATGAATGATACTCAACTTTATACTTTTTCATATTGTCAAGAAAAATGGAACAATTACAGTATATCCATTTTGTGATGCGTACATTAAGACGTGTTTTTGTTTGCCGAATCATCTGCTTTTTTATGTACTAGTATTTCAACTGTCTAGAGTCTAGGCATTTCAATTTTTTACCAAACAAAAAATTGGACAAGCCCGTTTTTAGATGCCCATTTCCATCGTACTGCAATTAATTGTTATATTTTCAGTCCAAACTTTCAAGCTCTTCCGTTCATTAATAAACAGTTGAGTAGTAGCAGTGTGTCAATTTTGGGATGCATTCATCTATGCTGACCATCCATTTGTATCCTTTATATGTCTCTTCTCTTTTATATGCAATCATTTTAGCCGTCTCAATATGTACATTGTCACATGCAAACATCAAAGCGGTACATCCATTTCTGTCTATGTCGTTAATATTGATTCATTTGTTAAGGAGCATCTTAGCCATAATAATAATAATTGTGTTCTTGGGGTTGACACCATTTCCTACATGCAATTTGGCTATAAATATGATTCCCCTTTGTGATGCAAACATAAATAATGAAAAACTACTCTTATCCTTTGCACATGAGGTAATTTCCATCTATGTTGTTCAAATCATAATTCTGGCATCCTTTTCAATCATAGTTTCTGCAATTGACGATTGTCCTTTCTTTGAAGCAAATATCAAGCAGGTCATACCATCCTTGTTGTGCATACTAACATACATTAGAAACTACATTTTTTAACCTTAACTCCTTTTTTTAGAAGCAATGTGGCAGTTTCTTTATGCTTTTTTTAAAGAGTACATTATAGCAGTCAATCTGTCATTGTATGTTTTATCAATTTCACCACTATTTTCATAAAGCATTTGAACGAATTCTGTGTGACCGTTATAAGAGCTTAAATGTTAAAGCAGTCTTATCTAAGGCATTTGTATAGTTAACATTAGCTCCAGCCTTAAACAAGTTTTCTTACAATGTCAATATCTACATTTACTGATGCATTCTTTAACGATGTAAGGCCATTGTTGTCAGTAACATTAACATAAGCTTTGATATTAATAAGGATATGAACAGTTTCATTAATGACTCTAACATTAAAGCAGTCTGATTATACACGTTTTCGTCGTTGACATCAGATTCATTTAATTACGTTTTATTTGTATAATTTTCTACTTTACTATTTATATCGTTATTAACTGCCACCAAATAAATAAGTATTTGAACTGTTTCCTTGTGACCGTTTTCTGAAGCAAACATTAAAGCTGTGTTGCCTTCATGATTTTTAATAGTTACATCACCTTCTTTTTTCTTCCATAAATTTAACAATCTCTGTGTGTCCTTCTTGCGACGAAAACATTAATGTGTTCAATTTATGTTTGTATCATTTATATTTGCGTTGTTTTCCACTAGCTATTCAGCTACATTAGTCCATCCATTTTGTGCAGCATACATTAAAGCTGCCTTGCATCTTTTGCCAATATCATTTGTATGAGCTCCATGTTTTATCAATGTTTTTGCAGTTATAGATTATTTACTTTGTAGAGCATAGAGTAGATGGCTCAATCCAAATTCATTTTTTTCATTAATTTTAGCTCCATATATTATTAACATTTCTACAATGTCAGTAAGTCCACTTTCTGAAGCTAATATTAAAGTCGTCATTCCATCACGTGTTTTATTTTTCCAATCAGCGCCATGTTCTATTAGAATTTGAATAATGTTCATATGTCTGTACATTAGTGATGTCATTACGTTCTTGTTTGTCATTTTAGTATTTGCTTTGTTTTCTCTAAGCATTTGAGCAATATTTGAATATCCACTTTATGATGCTAACATGAAGGCTGTTCACCCATTACTTTCGGTAGTATTTATGTTCGCTTGATTTATAATAAGGATATCAGTAATCTCCCAATGTCCATTTTGAGATACTAGCATCAAGCTTGTTAAGCAATTAGGATTATTCAGGTTTACATCAGCACAAGTCTTAATAAGCATTTCCACAGTGTCTGTATGGCCATTTTCAGAAGCTTGAAATAAAGCATCGGTGGTTGGAGGGTAAAAACTGCATTTCCACTCCTACAATGCATATATAGAAAACATAGTGTTTTTTTTCTTTTTTTTAATTGTTATTGTTTTAATCGATATCCGTTAGAATACTTAAACACTGGTAAACAATACATTTTGATCCATTGATTCCGAAAATGCCATCCGTTTTCCTTTAGTGTAGGTTATTTTTTTTAAAGTATTGAACAAATGTCACTTTAATCATAAAACATAAATATAGTTATTAAAAGAAAAAAAGTGCTACACAAGCAGTTCTTACTATTCACCAAAGAAACGATTTGATAATTTATACTTTCCACTTATGCTACATAAAATGAAACTTATATTTTAATACTTTTAAAGTATTATCTGAAAGGAAAATGACGAATGCAATTTTTTTTTAAAATCTCATTTTTAAAATGCATATCATCTGCCTTGTAATTTCGTTTCCGTGGCATGCATATGTCATAGCGGAGCCATTGTGGGAAATTTAGAAGCCCCACCCCCCAGCCCGGCCTCAACCAGAAAATTTCCGGTTTCAGCGTTTTAAATTAATTAAAAATACTATCCGCTGCTTTATCCCCATTAAAGGTTAGATCAATTAAATGTAAGAGGCAACCTGGAGCAGCAGGCATGGCAGTGCCTGCGCGAGCACTCTGCATTATGAGGAAATCTTCCACTTAAATAACCTGTTTTCTGTGGAGTGACTGTATGAATCATCTTCAATCAAAGCCTTACCAAATCATTTTATCAGGCTCGTCTAACTATATAGATATTTGTGTTATATGATTAAATCTCGTATTTCTAAAGCTTAATTAATTATATTTTTCTATCCCTGACTACCATATTTCTAACAAAGACAAAATCTCCTCTTCAGCTCTACTAACCCAAAAGATATAAGAACCAAAGGTACTTTTATAGTCTATTTGTAAATAAACAAATACAAAATTCAAGTCTACAAAAATCGCGTGTCATTTATTTTGTTTATTTTTGTTTTGTATTTGTGTGTGTGGGGGGTGGGGCTGGGGCTAGGAAAATATTTTTAAAGAATACGGGGGTGACATGCACTCTTTCGTCCTTATTGGTAGGCAACCATATAAGTTGCAATTATTTAACACAATTTCAATTCCATTTTAAACTGTTAATAAAAAGAAGCCAATAAGTCGGCTTCAATTTTAAAAATTTTATTAACTCTTGACATCTTTGCCTTTGCTTAGTTCTGATCTTCGGTAATTGACGGAAGCAAATTTTTAATCTCTTTCTATCCTTCTATGAAATGTAAGATTTGTTCTATTCTAAGTATCCATTAATCTGGAGGCAAGCAATTCAAATATGTCATTAGGCAGATTTTAATAGATGTTATCAAATCTCTCAATTTATTCTGTTTAAAATGGTTACTCTATGAAATCATAGCACTGCCCCTTACTTTTCATTGTGAGCTATAAAACATTCACGAGTTACCCTCTGAGAGATTGTGTAGTTTGTAAAAGTAAGTAAATTACATCAAATCAGATGACGGACATGAGCAAGACCAGTTGTCCAATTATTCCTTTTTCATTCTATGATATTAACAAGACCTCTGTTGCTGTCCATGAATTGTTTCTCTTCATTCCTTTTATACCAATCTGACTCTTTATTTCAGGCAGACGTTTTAACTTATGTAGATTATATGAATAAATGCAGTGAAATGTTGACACCATATGCCTGTGATCATCGGAAACATAAAGTATGTCTGCGTCGCATTTTGCGCGTTCGATGGCAAGACAAAATACCAAAAAAAGAGTTTTCTAAACGATACAATATGTGTAAGGAGATTAATGCAAGGCCTTATTCCAAAGATTATACTGTATGGACAGTTGCCAGAAGTTGCAAGACATTTTGGACGGTCGCCGCTTCATTTAAGGACGTTTAAAAAGTGAATATTTTAAAGCCATCATAGACATCAAAAAAATGGGGATCATCGTTAAGCAGCGTCCCTGCCTGTGAACAGCTGGGAAAGAAGGATTCAAGAAACTGATGATTGGCTAAAAAAACCGAGCATTACAGAAGATTAAACTTACCAGGAACCAAGGTTATCCTGCGAGACTGCCATTGCAGGACATATATATATATATGCAATCGTTGAGCAGCTACAGTATGTCCTTTTCGTGATGAATTCGTTTTGTATTTTTGCTCAACATGTGCTATTGTGTGCATGTGCTTTTTGCAGTCTAGGCATTTCAATTTTTAATCTAACAACAAATTGTTCTATCTAGTTTTTTAGATTATAATTTTCATGGACAAACATTTACATTTAAATTATAGTAACAACATTTAAACTCTTTCGTGATCTAGAAATAGTTGAGCTGTTGCAGTGTGTCCCTTTTGCGATGCATACATAAATGCTGTCAATCCATTTTTATCTTTTACATCTCTATCAGATCCTCTATTTAGAAGCATTTTAGCAGTCTCAATATGTCCATTTTTGCATGCAAACATCAAAGCGTTACAACCTTCTTTGTCGGTTTCGTTTATATTGATTCCTTTATTGATGAGAAACTCAGCCATCTCTAAGCGTCCATTTTCACATGCGAACATTAAAGCATTTTTACCAAAATCATTGATGTCGATAGGGTTAACTCCATTTCTTATAAGCATTTCGACTATAAAAGTGTGTCCACTTTGTGATGCCAACATCAATAATGTAGAGCCATTCTGATCTTTATCCTTGCAATTGGCGCCTTTGAATATCAGCTTTTCAGCTGTTTCTACGTGATTATTTCTCAATGCATATAATAAAGCTGAATTGCCTTCTCCGTCCTTCTTATTCACTTCTGCGCCCTTTTCTGCAAGAATTTCTACAATGTCTGTGCAGCCATCTTGTGATGCTAATATCAAGGCAGTTTGTCCAAAAATGTTTTCTGCATTAACAATTTTTTTAATATTTTCTAAATGCATATTTTGCATTTCATGCATTTTCATCTTATTTTGATCTTTCTCATTACCATAAACTCCACTGTTTAAAAGTATTTTTACAATCTTTTCATGTTTATTTTCTATTGCATACATTAACGCTGTTTTACATTTGTTATCTTTATCTAGAATATTTGCTTTTTTTTCAATAAGCCATCTGCAAATCTCTTCATGTCCATGTGTTGATGCCAGCATTAAAGCATTTAGACCATTATTATCCTTGACATAAATATGTGTACCATTTTTTAAAAGCATGTCTGCCGTCTCCATATGTCCATTTTGACATGCATACATAAAGGCATTGCGACCTACGTTGTTTGTATCATTAACGCTTGCTTCTTTTTTAATGATAGTTTCCGCAGTTGAAGTTAGTCCTTTTTCTGATGCGAACATTAAACAGGTCCAACCATCCCTGTGAGGACTAACATTTTTTTTATTTTCTTTAATTTGTATAACATTAGCTCCGTTTATTAAAAGCAGGTGAGCAGTTTCTTGATGATAATTTTTTAATGCATGCATTAAGGCCGTCATCCCATCCTCGTCTGTTTTATTTACAATCTCTTTTTTTTTTTTCAGATGTTGAGCACGTTCTATAAGTTTCTTTGCCGTCTCACTATGCCCGTTTTGTGATGCAAGCATTAGCGGTGTAAAACCATTCTTGTCTACGTCAGTAACATTAGCCTTCAATTGTATTAGAGTATCAACCGTGTCAGTGTGCCCATTTAAGGAGGCTAACATTAAAGCAGTGCGACCACACTTGTTTGTTTCGTTTATGTTAGAATCTTTTGTTGACTTTTTATTTGCAAAATTTTCTCCCTTTTTATTTTTATTAACTACCCCCAAATCAATAAGGATTTGAACTGTTTTTGTGTGACCGTTTTCTGAAGCAAACATTAAAGCCGTCATACCGTCTTTACTTTTATGATTTACATCAGCTCCTTTTTCTCTCAGCAATTTAACAATCTTTGTGTGTCCCTCTACCGACGCAAACATTAATGCATTTCTTCCATTTTTGTTTGTACCATTTATTTTTGCGTTTTTTTCCACGAGCACTTCAGCTACATCAGTAAACCCATTTTGTGCAGCATACATTAAAGCTGTCTTGTTTTCCTTGTCAAAAGTATTTGTATTAGCTCCATATTTTATTAATGTTTCTGCAGTAAGAGAATGTTTATTATATAGAGCATATATTAATGGGTTCAAATCATTTGTATCTTTTTCATCAATATTAGCTCCATTTTGTATTAACTCTTCTACAATGTCAGTAAGTCCACTTTTTGAAGCCAACATTAAAGTCGTTATCCCTTTATGTGTTTTATTTTTCCATTCAGCTCCACAGATTATTAGATATTGAAAAAGGTCTGTCTTTTTATTTTCTAATGCATACATTACTGAAGTCATTCCTTCATTGTCTTTTTCATCAATTTCAGCTCTATTTTCTAAAAGTATTTTAGCAATATTGAGATGGCCACTTTGAGATGCTAACATAAGTGCTGTAACACCATAGGCATCGGAAATATTAACATCTGCTCTTTCTTTTATCAGAATATCAACAATCTCGAAATGTCCATTTTTCGATGCCAACATTAAAGAGGTTAATCCGTCAATTTCTTTCATGTTTGTATCAGCCCCATTTTCAATTAGCATTTCTACAGTACCTTTATGTCCTTTTTCTGATGCCTCTATTAAAGCATTAAATAGTTCATCTTTTGCCTTTTTTTCTTGAATACTCATATTGCGAGTCTTGGCGTTAACTTCTGCTTGTGAAGTCTAAAGGAAAAATATACATTTGTTTGATGACATTATTTGAAATATCCTAATAACACGTCGGAGCAGATGTTGTATATCTTTGAAATTATTGATTTTCTGCTTTTAAGTCCAATAAAGTACCAAAACCAAAAATACATTTTTGAGCTTTGCCAAAGTTATAAAATTACATCGTAGTAAGAATATGAGAGAAAAAGAAATAATTATTAGAGCTTCAGTAGAATAACTAGAATAAGCTCTTTAAATATAGCTAGATTTTGTTTTTTAAAGTTCAGCTCGTAGATATCACATTTATTTTCAATTTCTATAAGGTTAATGAAAGATCACATGCTTATTATTGTATTGATAGCTCTTTGTTTGTTTGTTTGTTTGGTTGTTTTTTTTTGTGTGGTTTTTGTTTTGTTTTTTTGTTTAAAAATTTTTTTTTTTTACTGCAGTATGCTAGCTATACATGTTAGTGGAAGT